GAGGTTGGACGAAAGAATACGAAAGGACGAAGGGACTCAAAGGGTCGCAACCGGAGGTTGCGATTGACCGTTGCGACTGCAAGGATGGTAACCGAACAAGACAATCGAGTCGCTGTGCGACTGGATAACTGTTCCTTCAACTGTATTCTACAACTGCTTCATTTCTTATATTCTATATATTGCTGTATGCTTGTTTCTTTTAATCAATCACTTGCTCTCACATACTAGTGCAAGGGTTCATCTACTCAACTTCCGCTGCACTACTCAAGCATCTTGTACAAGAGGGACTTAGTATCTGAAAAGATCCTAAGGGCTTTTCTCAGCCCAACACTTAGATAGGTAATGCAACTGCTTATGATGTAAGATGCAGGGCTGATTTTATCAGACTATTTTAATCTGATTGTCTGAAATTTCAGACCCATTTTTTTGCCAATCCTGATTTTTCAGCCTTAGGCTTTTCTGGATACTGAACCCTTCAGAGTTGTATGATTTTGGATCCTAAAGTTTTCAGAGTAGTCGTTGTGTGGATACTGAGGTTTCAGAGTACATCGCGTATGGACTCTGAATGCAACATACATGCGCCTTGTACTTTCCACGAGATTTCCTCTACTACGTCATATGCTGCCTTCCATCATTTCACCCCCGCACGTCTCACGTGAAGAATCTGCACTTGGCAGGATTCCCGCCCCTTCTGTGACTGTGATGCTGCCCTCAACAGGGACTTCGCCGCTCAGAGCATCATGCATCCTGCCACGCGTGCCTGCTAAGGACCTCTACGTGGCTGTGTTGGAAGCCAGCAAAGGCTGGTAACGCGGGAAACTGGCCCTCGCTGGCATGTGCCAAATTGTCCGACCGACCGTGATTGGCGACAGTCAATGCCAACACATGGTTCGTAATGTCAGCTCATTTTTGGCATGGCAGCGCGGGTTTGGAAGGGGTTGCCGACCAAAAGCTGACGAGGTTTAAGTAAGAAACACGCGCCTTGGGCTTGATGGTGCCCTTCTTCTTCGTCCCTCTCATCCCTCCCCCTCCTCTTAGGCGCACTCACGCATTTTGACGGGGTTTGTAAAGCTTCCTCCTCAATCCGTGTTTCAGAGTTGTGCTCCTCACGTAGGTTCTCGTTTGTCGACCCCGTCAACAGCCATGACGGGGAAATCTGCAGAAGAGGACGATGAGCCCAGCGCCGATGAACCACCTCATTGTAAGAAGCCTGCAGAGGTTTGTCACTCCGCGTTAGACATACTGCGCTCGTTAGGTTCTCCTCCCATCGTAGCTGTTGTGGTTTCCTCCGCGGCGGAGGAAACCCAGCCTGCTCTAAACCCACCTCCATCCGCGCCCTTCGCGCCACCACCATATGTCCCTTCGCTAGCCGTCGCCTCATCCAGCAGAGGCACGACTCTGCCCGTTAACTGCGTCACTGCCACCACAGTCCGCTACAGCGTGCCCTGCACGTCCACGATTTCATCTGCGAAGAAACAATGGACGGACAAGTACACCCAGTCTCAGATCATGATCGGAGGTAGGCTCCGCCGCCCGTCCACGCCGCCATCACCTAGTGCAGTCCCTATCGTCGTTGAACCGCCACCCACAAAGCTGAGTAAGAAGGAATTGATTGAACAGAAATACCTCGTCGCTGAAGCAAAGTACAAAACTTCATGGCTGCCTTTCTTTCCATGGCTATTGCTAACCAAAACAAAGGACGGTTACCCTGCTCTCAAGTGCAGTGTCTGCATGACGTTTGGCAAGGAGACCACCAAGTACAGCTCTTCGGGCGATGGTGGCCGAGACCTGCAGACACAGACCATGCGCATACACGAACACTCTTCTGCACACAAGGAAGCTGTGGAGGCCCAGCTGAAGATTGCCGACGACATCGCTGATGGGCAGAAGAGGATTGACAACTACTTGTCGTCGGATGTCGAGGGGAGGTGGGTCGTGCGACTGCTCTGCGCCGTGGAGTTTCTCTGTAAGGTCGATGCTCCCATCAGCATGTTTCCTTAGCTATGTCGCTTTATGGCTGAGCAGGACACCCCGAACCTACCGCTCCAGTCTTACGGTGTTTACCTCACTCGGTAAGTACTCTTGAGTACATTCCATTAGTCTGCCCTGTTGGATCATTTTAACATTTAATCCTCTTCTGCATGCAGGTACAGCTTTCAACAGATGGTCCACTGCTTGGCGACTCTTCTTCAACAGACCCAGATGCAGCACATTCAATCGTCCCCATTCATCGGCATCAGTTGCGATGAGAGCACTGATCGTACCAAAGGGAAGCACCTGATTGTGTACCTCACGTTCCTGCGCCATCGCAGTGTCGTCACCGAATTCTTCTCGTTGCTGACCGTCGAGAAGTGCGACGCCGCCTCCCTGCTCTCCGTGCTCCTCAATCATCTTCAAGGCGCCGGCATCGAACTCAACCGCATCGTAGGAATCAGCACCGATGGCGCTTCCGTCATGGTTGGGCGCAAGAACGGTCTCGTGGCGCGGCTCCGCGAGCACATACCTCACCTTGTGTCGTCCTACTGCATCGCCCACCGGTATAGACTCATTATGTTATGTTCTCGCTTTGATTTTAATCGTTTACTAATTTGTTTCCATGGACTGTGCGCAGGGAAGCTCTGGCTGTGAAGGACGCCGCAAGTGCCTGTCCAGACTTGGACATGGTCGACAAGGTTATCCGAGCTCTGGCCGATCTCCTCGGCCATTCAAGCGTGTGGAGCCAATGGTTCAAGTACCTGCAGCGTGTCATCCACAAGACCAACCTTGAAGTTCAAGGAATCCACGCGATTCGATGGTTTTCCAGGGGCGAGGCAGTCAGACGCCTCTGTAAGGTCCTCGTTGCTGCCATCGTTTTACTGTTTGAGTATAAACATGAGCTGTACAAGGTTGTCATCTCATACAAGTTTCAGTTTTGTCTCTTCTTCTTGGCGGACGTTCTCGCCATCATGAACGAGCTCAACCTCAAGTTTCAGAAGCGAGAGGTGAGCTCTTGCATGTGAGCTTGTGGTATGTTCTTTCACAATCTGCACTAACATTCTGCCCCTTGACTTGCGCCCCCATGTTTCTACTACACCCCACCCCTCCCCCCGCCCGACCGCAGGTGGATGTCACCGAGATAACACAGGACGTCGATGAGGCGGTGGGGGATCTTCGGCACCGCTACTTGGAGTGCGGCGGGGTTTTCGGTGCGGGCGTAAGCGGCACGTGGCTGTCGGCTTTCTTAACCGTGTATGGGCGCGGGGGGGCGAAGAGAGTGAAGGTGCGCGGCGTCGACAAGGACGGGAAACCGGTGATGCACACGTACCAGATGCACGAGCGGCAGGTTAAGGGGCATGTCTACCAGAGCAACTACCGGGACTGCAAGCTGTTGTGCGCGAAGTTTGCTAGGGGGAGCATGACGAACCTGCTGGAGCGACTGGACGACCTGTCGAAGCTCGGGCCGACGAAGGTGTTTCGGGCGGGCAAGTGGCCGCGGCTTCGGATGGTGAGGGAGAAGAAGACGAGGGAGTATCTCCATGGCTGCAGTGCTATCTTCGACGACAGGGTCCCCGGGTTCGATATGAAGGAAGCGGAGAAGGAGCTGGCAACCTGGGCCCCGATCATGCAGAACCACCACAACGAGGAGAGCTTCTACCAAGGCCTCACGAACTACCTTGGCAACATGAAGTCAAGCAGGTAAGTCGAGCCTCCAAAGCACGCTGCTCTGTCTGCCTGTGCATGATTGTTTTTGCAAGTTTGACCACCCTGCCTGTCTATGTTTGTATCTAACTCTCCTGTTCCTTGCCCACCATGTATGTAGTTTGTTTTTAATTATATTGTTCCACGCGTCTTGTGTGTGGTTGTTCCATAAACAGGCACTGGCCCAACCTCATGTTTCTCTGGCAAGCATGCGCGGTGTTACCATTCTCAACTGTGGAGTGCGATTGTGGTTTTTCCAGGCAGAACGTGATCAGGTCTTGGGTCCGTGGTGCTCTGTGCAATGCCCGCCAGGGTGAGCTGATGATGATTTCGCTGCTGAAATACGAGATCAACTGGCAGGAAGCGCTGGAGCTGTGGCACGCAAAGAAGAGAAGACCAGCAAAGTTGGTGGTGTTCGCATCACAAGAGAGGAAGCGCAAGGGCAAGGCTCTGCTGGAAGAGGCAGAGCACGAACCTCCGGTGCCAGACTACGTATGAGAGGATTGGGATGAGGAGGAGGGGGAGAGGGATGGTGGAGCTGCAGTGGCTATAGAAGACAACCCCTTTCTGTCGGATGATGAGGCGGAGGATGTAGTCGCTGTTGATGTGCCAGAGTTCTAGATAGGGTAGGAAATTAGATTAGGTGTTGGTTACGAGCCAAAATATTATGAAATGATGGCTAGTAAATGGTGAAATTAAGACTCTGATTGATACCTGCGAACCCTGCAGAAATCATTCTTGAGACTCACTGGATCCTGCAAAATAAGACTACATGAATTCTGAAACCTGGCTATTCAGACTAGGGAAAAAAAGTTGGGGCCAAAATCAGAGTGAGTTTTTTTTAAACGTCAACCCTGGTAAGATGGTTTTCCGGGGAGGAAAATGCAGAATCACTAAGGACGAGCGCTATAGCTAAGTCCTAAGGTTAGTAGGTGATTGTAGTTATTATTAGTACAATACTGTAAGTTTGTGGTATGTTTGTTGCACTCATATTGTAATGCATCTTAAAACGTTTCTGTGTATTTGGCCCATTAGTGTTACACTATCAGTGCCGTTAGCGACGAGGGTCTGCACTGTTCAAAATTTCCCCACGACGAAAAATGCATTTCGCGCCACACGGCGTGGCAGCAGCACCCCCGATGCGCCTTGACTTGCAATTTGGAATGTGGTCTGCCGTACAGTGCAGCGATGGATGTGAGCGCGTGATGTTTCCTTGCCTTGCGCTTCTCATCCCCTCTCTCACGCCCGCTGGCATCAGCAAACCTGTGATGCCTCTGCCTCACCCAACACAACCCGTTTCTGCTCGTATCTGTCCCCTAGACACCTCAACAACAGCAGACCTTCCTCCACCCCTAAGCTGTGTTCGTAGTTCCACTCGTACTAGTTGGTGGTTCCTCGTAGTCCTGGTGCGACGATCTAGGGCGTGATTTCGTGCTTGCCAGCACCGATAAAGTCGAAACCGCCTACCAGTAGGTTAGACAGCTTAGCCTATTCTCGACGATGAGCGCCTCTGCGACACGCGATTCGCAGCCCAACCCGCCCTAAAGTCGCTGCCCTAGGTAATCGTCGTTTACCGCTCTGCCTAGGGCCTGCTGTGATAGTAGATGAGGGGTGCGACGGATCTTGTGCCGTGGCATACCGTGCTTGTATCTCCTAGAGCAGCGAGCGCGCTTTTCCGCTGCGAGCGTTAGATTCGGCGCTCCTGTTGGCGGATTCGTCTCGTTGCGAGCTCCATTCCCGCCCTTCTCAGAGTCCTCGTTCCTCAACCGCGTTTCTCTTTCTCTCCCCGGCCGTGTCGTTCCCCCCTCCCCCTTGGCAGCACGGAGATGGTGGATCGCTGGCTGCACGCCTACAGCGGCACCGCCCACATCGCTTCCCCATCAGCCCATTCCTCCTCTCCGCCCATTTCCGCCGCCATACTACCACCCCCCCTTCCGCCATCCGTGCCCAATCTTTCCGCGGACCCCGGTTCTCCACATGCTTCGACAGTTACTGCTAGTCTCGGGGGGGAGAAGAGGGGGGATTCGAAGGTGGACGAGAGCGGAGCGCGCATGGAGACGGGGCGCGGGGGAGAGGGGAACGAGGGAGGTGGGGAGAGGGCTGGGGGGAGCGATGAAAAGGCGATGGGCGCGGCGGGGAAAGGGGCGGGCGGCGAGACAGGCATGGACGCGTCACAGGCGGCGGACCAAGTGCGCGCGTACAGGCGGCACGTGGAGCAGATGCAGGAGAGCGAGAAGCTGCTCTACGCCGAGGTGACGCGCTCATACTCGTGCGCGCTCGCCACGCACTTGCACGCACTCCACCTCGCGCGTGTCCTTTATGTCCCCCCTCTCTTTCCCTGTCTCAAGTATCCTCCCACACGCACCTCCCCACTCCCGGCTCCATTCCCCGCAGATTGACGAGTTGCGCGCGGCTCTCAGCGCGGAGAGGGAGGTGGCGCGTGCAACGGAGCGAGTGGCGGAGGCGGAGTGCTGGCGGAGATTGGAAGTGGAGAGGGGGAGGGCGGCGTTGGCGCGCGAGGTAGAGCGGCTGCAGGAGGAGCTAGCGGATGCGCTGGAACAGGCGGACGGTGGGGGGGAAGAGGGCGGCGATGCAGGTGGGCGGGGGAGGGAGGAGCGGTTGAGCGAGGTGGAGCGGCAGGCGCGGGAGGAAGTGGCGGAGTTGGAGGAGCAGATGGAACAGGTGTGCGCGTCGGCGGCGCAGCGCGAGCAGCAGTTCCGCGCGCTGCTGCGCGAGATGGAGGAGGAGCTGGGCGCGGCGCAGGCCATGGCGATGGTGGCGATGGAGCGCGAGGAGCGCGCGAACGACGCGCTGCACACGCTGCGGCAGGTGAACGACCAGCTCATGCAGCGGCTGCTGCAGCAGGGCAAGGTGCTCCGCGCCCACCGCCCGCCCGCCGACCACGGCAAGCAGCACACTGACGGCGCGGAGGGGGAAGCGGCCGACGACGACGGCGGAGTGACGCGAGGCGAGCACGAACGGGTTAAGGACGAGGGGGCATGCGCGGAGGGAGGTGGCGGGAAGGGGTTGGGTACAGGCGGATGTGGGGAGGACTCCTCGGAGGGGGTGAAAGCGGCCGTGGACGCACGGCAGGAGAGGTGCGAGGAGAGGTGCGAGGAGAGTGCGGGGCGAGAGGTAACGGCAGATGTAGACGTCAGCCCGCCACGGTGTGCGGAGGAGTTTGCCGTTCCGCCGCTGCATCCGTGCGCGTCCCCGCAGTCGTCGCGCGGCAAGGCGGTGGGTGGGGGGCAGGGGAAGACTCGCGCGAGCAGCTGCGACACGAGCAGCGCGGGCAGCAGCGGCAGCGCGGGCAGCATGACGGGGCTGTGCAGCGGGTGCCGGCAGAAGATGATCCGCGCCAGAGTGGGCGCGGCGGGGAGAAGCAGCACGCCCAGCAGCACCAGCAGCGGCAGCCGCGCTTCCACAGGCGAAAGCAGCCCCGGCAGGCGACAGACGGAGCAGGAGGAGGAGGCGCGGAGGGGGTGGCGCGAGCGGGGAAGCGACGCGCAGCCGCGGGTGCGAGCGGTGGCGGGTGGGGAGCGCGAGGCGTGGTCGGACGACGAGACGGCGTCGGAGTTCTCCTTCCACTTCCGCGGCGCGCTCTCCGACTCGGGCGAGCTCGCGGGGCTGTACGGGCCCGCCGTGGTGGGGTGCCGCCCGCGCACGCGCGCGTGGGGGGGCGGGGACAGGGCTCGGCACGCGCAGGGCGGGGCAGGGGGATCGAGGCAGGGCGATGGGGGCAGGACGGACTCAAGGAGCAGGCGGAGATGGCGTGGCGTGCGCGAGGGGGAGGAAGGGGAGGAAGGGGAGGAAGTGGAGGAGGGGGAGGAGGGGGAGGAGAGCCTGAGTTCCGTGAGCGGCGGAGGCGACGACGCATGCACGCGGATGACGTGGCAGGGGCTGCTGGGCGCGGGCAGGCAGGCAGAGGAAGAGCGGGGAGAGGGGGGCATGTGCGGGCGGGGGAGGGAGCGAGGCGCGGCGTGGGTAGCGGCGGAGCTGGGGGAGCTGGTGGGGGAGGCGGAGAGGGTATGGGAGTGGGCGGAGGAGAAGGAGTGCGTGGAGCAGGGCATGGTGCAGCTGTGCGTGGGGCTCAAGCTGCTCCTGCTCAAGCTGCTGCACGGCGGGCATGCGGGCGCGCTGCCACGCACTGGGAAGAGGAAGCGCAGAGAAGAGGGGGACGGGCAGGCAGGGGAGGAGGCGAGCGATGATGAGAGAGAGCTGCTGCAGTTGTTGGCGGCGGGGGAAGCGGAAGACGAGGAGGAGGAGGATGCAGAGGAGGGCGAAGGGGTAGTGCGTGAAGGTGATAAGGGCGGCGTTGGCGGGGGGCAGTGGTTGTGCTTGGAGGAGAGGGGCGCGGACAGCAGGTGGGTGCGCGTGACGAGGAGCGGCGGGAGGAGCGTTGAGGGCAAGGGCAGAGGCGAGGGCGGCACACACAGCAAGCAAGGGGGGGTCTGGCTGGAGGACTGCTGTAGCAGTCCAGGCGAGGACGCACGGCAGGGGGGCGGGGTGATGCATGATGGGGCACGTGAGGGGCATGAGAGGTGTGTGTATGAGACGAGAATGGGCGATAGCAGTGAGGAGGGAGATGGCGTGCAGCAGGGGGGCAACAGTGCAGTGCAGAGCGGCAGCAGCAGTGGTAGAGGAGAGCAGGGGAAGGAGGGTGAGGCAGCAGAGAGAGGCAGTGAGGGGGCAGCGAGCGCGGATGATGCCATGGAGGGGGGTAGCGGTTCTTGTTGCAGCAGGCAGGGCGAGAGCATGGATGGGATGATCGCGAGTGATTCAGTCGACCGGGATGATGATGTCGCCTCAACGGGCGATTCGGGCGGCCAAGAGACAAAGGAGGGTGAGGCTAGTGGTGGGGAGCAGGGTGGTTTGGGGTTGGATGGGGGGGAGGAGAGGTCCAAGGCGATAGACCAGATGGCGGAGGCTGTCAGTCTCATCCCTGCGACCACATCGGACAGCGACGGTGCGGCTGCTGACGCACCCCCAGGTGTGCCTCTGCTTCGTGGCGCGAACAGGAATGGCAGCAGGAGCGTGAGTGGGCGGGGTGGCGGTGCCAGTGGTGGAGAGCAGGGTGGGGCATGCGACGTGAGTGAGCACATGCAGGGAGGCAGCAAGGCAGAGGCGCACGGCAGTGGGCGCAAGCACCTGAGCGTGCTGCCCCTCTCTCGCCCCATGTGCGCCTTGCCCATGGCTGTGCCCAGCAGCCCCGCCAAGCTGGGCAAGTGGGTGGTGGGTGGCGTGTGGAAGGGGGTGGTGGGGGCAGCGGGGCAGCGCGTGGCAGGGGAGCAGGTGGGAGAGGAGCTGGAATGGTGCAGGGCGTCGCTGCAGGCGCTGACTGAAGCTGTGTATATGCAGATGGCAGCTGTGCTGGAGCAAGGCGCATTGCATGCAAACAATGGGGGTGGTGGGGAGGGCGGAGGGGCCATGGACGAGGGCATGGTGGAGGGCGTGTTGGACAAGTCCCACGGGCAGGTGCAGGAGGCGGAGGCGCTGCTGGGCAAGGCGCAGCGCACGCTGCAGCGTCTGGCGGCTGTGCAGGGCAGGGGCAGGGCACTTTGCCGCAGGATAAGCAGCAAGCAGCGCGTGCTGCTGGAGCTGCAGCGCTGCCTGCTGCAGGCACGGGGTCACACACAGCCACGTGCGGCCGTGTGTGAGAAGAAAGACGAGCCCCACCTGCGGTGCAACATGTTCTGGCGGCGATGACACACCCAGTACTGCCGTGTGCTCACTCATTTGAGTGGCGGCTATTGCCATGCTAACATCTTACTAATCATGTACCGGTTAGCTACCTCCAGTTGCGTTAGAAGCAAACTGGCTATATTATTTATCTAATGTATACGAGGCCTGTCTCCCCAAGTTTGTTGCACTGCCAACAGTGGCTACACGTGCATTCCATACCATGGGAAGGGAACACGTGTAAGGCTTGGGGGGGTGTTTACACATAATGTGAATGACGGGATTGACATCTTAGTCGCAAGACTGAAGTTTTCCTCTGTCCCCACCATACTAGTCGTTTAATCCGACAGGGGGTTCTATTTTAACACCAATGAACCTTGTTGAATGAACCGTAACGGTTTCCTCTCCTTGTTCACAGCACGAACGCGAGTGAGCACAGCACACTCTTTCAATACACTTGAACGGCGGGCAATATTTGAGTACACTGTGACCTCGTTCTTCTGAATCATGCATTTTGTCGAGGAAGCTGACGATAAGAAGTTGTAGGTTGGCGACTTCAATCGCAGCATAGTGTGCCGCTGGATAGGCGATGAATAGAGGTACTATGGAGATGGAAAAGAGGTTGAACCACGGCAAGAAAGTGTCAACTTATACATATGCTTATATGTAGAAGTTATAAGCTGGATGGGTTTGTGTTCTTAGAGGGTACAACTCCAACCCTATATGTTCCTTGTGCTGCCTTATTCTAGTCACTTCGCTACTCTGAGATGGTATCACGCTAGGTAGGTCCCACCCACCCGTGCTTCCGCCCTAGCCTCCCGTACCGCCTACCCTAGCTCTAGCCTGCCGCGCCGCGTCGGCCCCCAGCTCGCCGTGCCGCGCTGGTCCCTAACTGCCACGCGTGCCCCTGGCTGCCGCGCTGGCCCCTAGCTGCCGCGCTGGCCCAGCCCGCCAAGTCGGCCACCTCCTGCCGCGCCGCCCTAGCTTGCCGCGACGACATCAGCTCTCTGCGCGGCCCCCAGCTCGCCGCCGGCCTCGAGCTCGCCGAGCGGCCCCTTAGCTCACTGCGCGGCCCCAGCCTACCGCGCCGCCCCAGCTAGCCATGCCGGCGTCAGCTCGCCGCGCCGCCCCTGCTTGCCGCCAGGACATGTAGTACAAGCTAGCTTTCCTGTCCGCGGTCGCTCCTCATCTCTGGTCAATGCTGCTAGCCCCTGAGGGTGACCCAAACGCTCTTGACACCCCGATCCCTCGCACCTACGCTGAGGCGACTTCGGGACCCTGGGCCTCTCAGTGGATAGCTGCCATGAATGCTGAGATGGCATCTTGGAGATCCACCGGCACCTACGTCGACACAGTTCCCCCAACTGGGCGAACGTAGTCGATGGCCGGTGGCTCTTCAAGCTGAAGCGCCCTCCTGGAGAGCCACCGGTATTCAAGGCGCTCTACATTGCTAGAGGCTTCAGTCAGCGGGAGGGTGTTGACTTCTTTTAGACCTTCGCCCCGACCCCTCTTCAGGCACTCTTCGGGCACTCTTCACGTTGCAGCACAGTGTGACTACGAGCTTCACTCACTGGACTTCTCCACGATGCTCCTCTAGGGCAGTTTACATGAGCAGATCTACCTCCGCCATCCACCAGGCTTCACTGGCACTTTCCCTCCTGGGACCGAGTGGTTCCTCTGGCGCCCTGTTTACGGTCTGCGACAGGCTCCTCAAGAGTGGCACGATATGCTGCATGCTACACTAGCAGACCTGCAGTTCTTTCCGTCCTCTGCCAACCCATCACTCTTCGTTCGCTCAGGCCAGACTCTGTTCTACATCCTAGTCTACGTAGATGACCTGGTCTTTGCTACTGCAGATAGAGACGGACTGGCCTCGGTGAAGGTCGAGCTTCTGAGGAGACACATGTGCACTGACCTAGGAGATCTGTGCCGCTACCTTGGCCTGCAAATCTCCAAGGACAGAGCAGCGCACACCATCACTCTCACACAGTCACACTTGGTGCGCCAGGTCCTTCAGAGGTTCGACCTTCAGTTCTCCTCTGCACAGCTCACACCCCTGCCAGTGGATCACAGGCTCTCAGCTACAGTCCCTGACAAGTTGATCGAGCCTAGTGGTCAGTATGCAGAGCTCGTGGGCTGCCTCATGTACCTGATGACTTGCACTCGTCCAGATCTCGCATACCCTCTTATTATCATCGCTCACTTTGTTGCAACAGGCAGACACTGACCCGAGCACTGATCGGCTGCTAAGAGTGTGTTGCGTCATCTAGCAAGTACATCAGGCATGGGGCTAGTGTTGGGAGGATGCAGGCCAGTGGTCCTCACATGGCATGCTGAGGCTTCGTGGGCGGACGACGCTGAGATGCTCAGGTCCTCCCAGTGCTACTGCTTTAGCCTTGGTGCAGAAGCTATCTCGTGGAGGTCCACCCACTCGTCGTGTGCTGCCCAGTCCAGCTGTGAGGCTAAGATCTACGCTGGTGCCATGGCGGCACAGGAGCTCCGCTGGCTGACGTTCTTGCTCACTGAATTAGGTGAGCGGCCTAGCTCTGCCCCGATCCTGTACGCTGACAATAGGGCCATGATCCTCCTGTGTCACGAGCCTCGACTAGAGGAGAGAGCGATGCACATCCAGCTGTGGCACTTCCTCTTGCACAAGCTACAGCAGCGCGTCCAGGCATGCGTCTGGTGCCAACACAACTGATATCTTTACCAAGGCGCTTGCGCCTAAAGATCATCAGCGGCACTGCTTACAACTTGGTCAAGTTCCAGTAGCTCCTCACTTGCTAGGACCCTGACTTGTGTACTACTCCTTATATTATCTTGACTGGCCTTATGGCTCTTGTCTCAGTGGCAGGACTAGTAGTGCCGCCCTGAGTTACTCTTGTTTAGATTGTACTCTTGCTGACTGGTCTTCGGAGCCCTGCCTCTCGTACACTTGTTCACATGCTCACAGTCGCCTGCAGCGTAACGAGCTAATCTACGCACACCACAGATTGCGGAGACGTTTATAGAAGGGCATGCAGGGTAGATCGGTACGGGCCGGTATCAATGTCATGGCTTGAGTTGGCGAGTACTTTACTTGTCCTCACTTTCGCGTTAGGAAAATCTGCTAGACAACAGTAATCACTTGTCCTGAGGAATGTGAGGGATAGGGATTAAGGGGATAGGGATAGGGGGGATTGGAATAGAGGGATTGGGATAAAGGGATAAGCTTGGTAGGGATAGGGATACGGGGGATAGGGATACGGGGGATAGGGATAGGGGGGATAGGGATAGAGGGAGTAGGGATAGGAGGGAAAGGGATGGGATGATTGGGATAGGGGGGATATGGATAGGGGGGATATGGATAGAGGGGATTGGGATAGGGGGATTGGGATAGGGTGGATAGGGATAGGGTGGAAAGGGATAGGGGGGATAGAGATAGGGGGGATAAGGACAGGGGGGATAGGGATAAGGAGGATAAAAATATGGGGAATAAGGATATGAGGGATAGCGATATAGGGAGTAGGGATATGGGGGGAAAGGAATATGGGGGACTGGGATAAGGGGGTTAGAGATATGGGGGATACGGAATTAGCGGACATGGATAAAAGGGATATGGATATGGAGGGAAGGGATAGGGGGGATGTGGATGTGGGGAATATGATATGGATATGAGGGATAGGGATGTAGGGAATAGAGACATGGATGATCGGGACATATGGGATAGAGATATGGAGGAAATGGATAAGAAGGTTAGGGAGATGGGGAATTGGGATACGTGGGATAGGGATATGGGGATAGGGATATAAGGAATAAGGATACGGGGAATAGGGATTCACGTAATATGTATATGGTGAAGAGGGATGTGTAGGATAGGGTTATATGGGACATGGATTCCGGCAGTATGCATTTAAAGGATGGGGATATGGGCGATTGCGATAGGGTTATGCGATTTCTCCAAAGGCCCTATAGCTAATGAGACCATTATCAAGCTATCTAGGCCATACGGATGGGTTTGAGAAGCATTCTAAAGAAAATGTCACCCGCGTTGCCATCTGGTCAGCCTTCGCTCAAGTAGGCATGGGTCCGAAGGTGAATGCGTTATATCTGTTGCCCTACCTTGATATGCGGTTTCTTCGAAAACATTTTAGCTCAGCAGACGATTCTCAAGCTACAGGTCAACCTCGACTAGTCTAATGAGCCCGAAGGCAAACATTTGCACCTGGCATCTATTTGATAAGAGCAACTCCCAAGTACGCAGCCTGTTAGGTGTTCCACCAATCGTATAATCTTATACAATATGGTCAAGACCGCATCTCATTTGTCGGCGATCTCCACGATCCACTCATGCCCCCCTTCCCGAACCATTGATGCAAAATTGATCCACATATTGACGCTGACCAAGAGATCTTGCTACCAAGCAGTTAGAAAGATATGTGTCTCCAAAGTTTTGAGACTCGGCCATGCTTGAGTGAAGCCCAACCATGGTGCAACTCGATAATTCTACACACCATCTAAAGTTCCTATGGCCAACATTTTTTGCTTTCTAGATTGGCCTTGGACTCATTAGCATCAGTACTGACCAAGAGATCTTGCTTCTAAGTAGTTAGAATGATATGTGTCTCCAAAGTATAAGATTTGGCCATGCTTGAGTGAAGCCCAGCCATGGTGCAACTCGATAATTTTACACACAATCTAAAGTACCTATGGGCAACATTTTTGGCCTTCTAGATTGGCCTTGGATTCATTAGCATAAGTACTCACCAAGAGATCTTGCTTCCAAGCAGTTAGAAAGATATGTGTCTCCAAAGTTTGAGGCTTGGCCATGCTTGAGCGAAGCCCAACAATAGTGCAACGCAGTATTTTAAACACAATCTAAAGCTCCCATGGCCAATGTTTTTGGGATTCTATATTGGCCTTGGACTCATCAGCATCAGTACTGACCAAGAGATCAGCACACCGGTCGAAAATCACACCGGTCGAAAGGCACACCGGTCGAAAGGCACACCGGTCGAAAGGAAGGCACACCGGTCGAAAGGAAGGCGCACCGGTCGAAAGGCGCACCGGTCGAATGGCGCACCGGTCGAAAGGCACACCGGTCGAAGGGCACACCGGTCGAAGGGCACACCGGTCGAAGGGCACACCGGTCGAAGGGCACACCGGTCGAAGGGCACACCGGTCGAAGGGCACACCGGTCGAAGGGCACACCGGTCGAAGGGCACACCGGTCGAAGGGCACACCGGTCGAAGGGCACACCGGTCGAAGGGCACACCGGTCGAAGGGCACACCGGTCGAAGGGAACACCGGTCGAAGGGCACACCGGTCGAAGGGCACACCGGTCGAAGGGCACACCGGTCTAAACGCACACCGGTCGAAACGCACACCGGTCGAAAGGCACACCGGTCGAAAGGCACACCGTCCGAAAGGCACACCGTCCGAAAGGCACACCGTTCGAAAGGCACACCGTTCGAAAGGCACACCGTTCGAAAGGCACACCTTTCGAAAGGCACACCTTTCGAAAGGCACACCGTTCGAAAGGCACACCGTTCGAAAGGCACACCGTTCGAAAGGCACACCGTTCGAAACACACACCGTTCGAAAAGCACACCGGTCGAAAGGCACACCGGTCGAAAAGCACACCGGTTGTGAGAGTACGAACCCGTTCCATTGTTTTCTTCTTTCCATATTCCCTTTCCATTTCAGTCCTCTTTTTATCTTGATTCATTTTGTCTTTATCTCATACCATTTGGATTCCTATTCCTCCTTTTCCATAAACCTTTGGTTTATCCTATTATTATCATTATATCACTGACCACGCTCTAGGTGTACTGGTGCGCTATATCTAGCGTAATCCTGCTGTAATCCTTTAAAGCCAATAGCCTCGCATGGCTATACGCAGTGTGATTCTATTTTCTAGAAGGGTCTATTTCCTTGGGATAGGATAGACCTGGTTACCTGATGTACCTTGGAAGTATAAAAGCGCCTTGTACTGATCGATAGTGGAACCTTTCCTCGACACATTCGATCCTGTGACACTTGGTAATCAGAGCTTTTCTCACTCGGCCGCACTCAGCTAAGCAGCAGCAGCGGGACTCCTGCCTCGAAAAACCGCCGGGGGCGACCAATTCGACGCCGATTCTGGTAAGCACCAGCTCCGCGTTTTTTTCGAATTACCCCCTCCGCGCGTGTTTTGAACAGGATGGCAAACTTTGACAACGTCGAGGTTACCCATCAGCTCTTCGCGAGCATCGCCGCCCTACAGGAGGAGATGCGAGCCGATCACGAAGCTTTGCGAAACGAGTTCAAGTGGGTAACTCGACTCGCCGGCGCGCAACATGAAACGACAACGGCGACGATGCAGCAGTCGCAGCAGTTTCTCGAGGCTCCGAAACTGCACCCACGTAAGCCGTTCGATCCGAGCGATCGAAACTCCGAGGTCCGGAGATGGATCGCCGGCATGGAGATCTACTTCGCAGCCGTCGGATGGAGCTCGCCAGTCTGGGACGGTCAACGCGTACGACTTGCGGCGACACTGATGCGAGGACCGGCACCTGAGTGGATCGGCGGTAACAGCACCTTCATCCACGGCGAAGCCACGTGGCAGCAGTTCCGCACCGACCTGCTGAAACGTTTCGAGCCGATAAATTCGGGATTTTTTGCCCAGGAAAAAAATCATCGCCATCGACGGTTCAGGAGTGTAGCACAGTACACGCAGCAGATGGGAGAATTTTATAACCGCATTCCCAACCTGACCGAAGGGGAAAAAGTACAGTCATACCTTGCCGGGCTGAAGACCGATGTCAAACGACAAGTAGCAGCGACGAACTACGCGAGCTACAGTGACGTCGTTTCGGCAGCGGAACGATTCGACATGGTCAACACCGGGACACGACGGGCGCACGTCGGCAGTATGCGACAGGGCGACCGCTCGGCTCACCCCACGTTTGCAGACTTGATGGAAGTCGACAGGTTCGAAGGGCGGCCACGTCCGAAAAACACCAACTTCACGTGTGATTTTTGCGGGGTGCCGGGTCATCGAATCTTCGACTACAACAAAATGAAAGCCGCACGCGCTGAGTATCAGGCACGCAACAGTGGCGGAAATCCTTCGGCCAATCAGAAGCAAAAAAACGGGACTCGCCAGTAATTGCGGAACTAGCTGGCGAAAATAAAAAGATCCGAAAGTGGCCGCGGACTTCCGGAAAAATCAACTTCGACGCAGCTGATTCGACGCGAACAGGAGAAAATGATGGGGAAAAATCTCCACCCCATGACAAGTCTTTGCCAGAGGAAATTGCCGAGAAAAAATCTCACTCTGCGAAAAAGGACTCTGCCAAGACGGGAAAACTCCTTGAAGACCCAAAAAATTATAAGGATTCATTAAAGTTATCTTATAAAGATGCTTTAATGAAAACTTGTAATTCTCGAGGGGCTAGAGCCTTGGAGAAATTTCGGGAGGGACTCCAGAAGAAGCAGAAAATTGTGGAGATTATACCACTACCGGAGAACTTGGGGGCCAAATTAAGGAGTGTGGAAAGAAGCCGACCTTTCCACGGAGTCAACGTCCTCTCCCGACACCAGCCCACAGCGACTACCCGTTCCCCAGGGAAGACGTCGGTGGAGCTGAAGCAGCTCAAGAGGAAGCTAGGGGTCTACAAGAAGCTGCAAAAACCCCGAACTCCTTCTTCGGATGCATCCAATTCGGCAACTTCGTCAACGATACGAACAGTCGTCATGGAAACTCGGGGCCCTGGAGAAGAGCCTTTCTCCAAGCAGCCTCGGCCAGCTGCCAGCTCAGGAGTAGGAAGCAACGAATATTGGAATGTACCCTATGACCCAATCAATGAAACTATCTTTGGGTACTCCGAGCAACGCCTGCCCCTCGTGCTCGAGGCCATCTGCAAAGGACGATGCCTCCAAGCACTCGTGGACAGCGGAGCATCGCACACCGTATGCGACAAGGCAACCATCAACCAACTTCGAGAAGAGCACAAGCCATCAGCGTTTTCTGCAACAATGGTGGACAGCAGCAAGTTACCAGTGTACGGCAAAGTAGTGCTACACCTACAAATCGGGCCACTGCGCTGGAAACCTGCTCTCCCCATCACCAACATAAAAGGGCTTGACCTGATCTTCGGGCGAGACTTCCTCAAGAAATTCAACCCCGAGATCAACTGGGTAAACCGCACAGCAAGCATCTACAACAAAGGAAGGAGAGTCCAGCTACCCAACTCGGACGATACAGGAGATATCCTAGTAGAGACACTCGCCAGGTTTGAGAAAAACGTGAAAAGAACCAACACCAGGTTCCTGGCGTTAGCAACAAACGTGGAAAGAGACGAGGAGAAGACCTCGGAACCTCCAAGAGAAATCAAGGAAATACTGAAGGAGTTCTAAGACATTCTTCCCGACGACCTCCCGGACGAGCTACCGCCATACCGAACGTACCAACACGAGATCGTGGAGGAAACAGGTTCGAAACCGACCTTTCTGAGCACCATATCGGCTCAGCCCCACAGATGTAGCCAACATGAAGAAGCAGATCGAGTATCTCCTTGCAAAAGGACTCATCCAACCATCCACTTCACCACACGGTGCCCCAGTACTCTTCACACCGAAACCGGACGGAAGCCTACGCATGTGCATCAACAAGCAGACCATCAAGAACAAGTACCCGATTCCACGAATCGATGATCTGCTTGACCAGCTTCGGGGAGCCACGGTATTTTCAAAACTAGATCTGCGGTCCGGATACTGGCAGATAAGAATGGCGGACAATTCCGTTCACAAAACTGCCTTCCGAACTCGGTACGGATCGTACGAGTATCTGGTAATGCCGTTCGGACTCACCAACGCACCTGCAACGTTCCAAGCAGAGATGAATCACATCCTACGCCCACTCTTGGATGAATGCGTGGTGGTGTACTTGGACAACATCCTCGTCTACTCGCGTGACATGCAACAACACGTCGAGCACCTGCGACGCGTCTTCGAGATTCTTCGAGGAGAACGCTTCAACGTCAAACTATCCAAGAGCGACTTCGCCCTCGAGAAAGTACAATTCCTCGGACATATCGTAAGCGCTCAAGGAGTTCACGTCGACCCCAAGAAAATCGAAGCCGTTCGTACGTGAAAAACACCCGAGAACGTGAAGGAGTTACAGCAGTTCCTAGGCTTTGCTAAAAACTACAACAGGTTCGTGCCACAATACGCGAAGATCGCCGCGCCACTCACGAATCTGCTAAAGAAGAACACGCCCTAAAACTGGGAACCAATGCATCAGGAAGACATGGAGCAGCTGAAACAAGCACTCACGTCCGCACCCGTACTCATCTTAGCAGACCCCGAACGCGACTACGTCATCGAAGCTGACGCCAGCGACCAGGCAGTGGGAGCAGTCTTGATGCAAGACCAGGGGAATAGACTGCAACCAATTGCCTACCTCAGCAAAAAATTACACGGAGCAGAACTCAGCTACCCGATACACGACAAGGAGGCCCTGGCTATCATAATTGCCTTCAAATCATGGAGATGTTATATCGAAGGACGCAAAACAACAGTCTACACCGATCATTGCAGCCTAAAATATTTGAAAACAAAACCAAGCCTCTCCAGGCGACAGGTTCGATGGATCGACTTCGTCAAGACGCACTTCCACTACAACATCGTGTACAAGCCTGGCCATAAAAACAAAGCAGATGCACTTAGCCGGCCTGCACACGTTGCCGCTATCCAAATTGAAGGGATGAATCCACTCCTCAAGGGACTCTTCACACACGGGTACACCATCGACCCCGAAATTCCCTTGGCAGAAAAGCGACATCTGCTTCAGTGGGACAACGACATCGCGTACCGGAAAGGATCAACGAAGATCTGGGTACCTAATTACCCTCCTTTGTGCCAGTTACTACTCGAAGAATACCACGACGTCCTGTACGCAGGACACTTGGGTAGCAACAAGACGCTCACCGGTATCGCCAAACACTACTACTGGCCCCACATGGCAGATGACGTATAGAAATTCGTCACCTCGTGCACTACATGTCAGCGGATGAAGAGTAGCAAACAGAAAAAGGCGGGTCTGCTATAGCCTCTTCCTGTCCCAGAACAGCTATGGCAAGTGGTCAGCCTAGACTTCATCACCGAGCTACCAACTACGACAAGCGATCATAACGCGATCCTCGTCATCATTGACAAGTTCTAAAAAATGGGACACTTCATCCCGACACACACGACAGCACGCACCGAGGAGACAGCACAACTCTTTGTTCGCTACATCATTTCACAACATGGCATTCCAACCACACTCATCTCCGACCGAGACCCTAAGTTCACCAGTAAATTCTGGAAAGAACTGATGTCTCTACTCGAACCAAACTCGCCATGTCATCCGCATACCATCCGCAGACAGATGGACAAACCGAGCGCCTCAACCAAATTGTGGAGCAACTCCTCCGCACAGCCTGTAAGGACAAAATCTCCAAGTGGGACTTGCATCTGCCCATCCTGGAGTTTGCCTACAACAATACTACTCACGCCGCTACTGGACAGACGCCGTTCTTCCTCTGTTATGGACGACACCCACTCATACCTCAACAGCCAAACATACCAGCCACAGTCCAACCCGCTCATGATTTCATCACGACCATGCACAAACTTTGGGATCGGACCCACAAGCGCCTTCTCGACATTCAGCAACAACAGAAGCGCCAAGCCGATCGCCACCGCACAGACCACAGCATCACCATGGGAGACCGAGTACTGCTCGACACGCGCAATCTTGACATCAGTCATCTTCCATCCGAACTGCGACCTTGCTTCTGCGGGCCTTTTCTTGTTGAAGCACAGGTCACTCCTGTTACCTTCCGCTTACGCCTGCCAGCTACCTGGAACATTCACAACGCCTTCCATGTCCGACTCTTGAAGTCCTACCAAGATCCCAACACGGCCTACTCTGGATGCCAACCGCCGCCGGCGCCGCCCGTCCATGATGAACCCGAGTACGAGGTCGAGTCCGTGCTTGCTCATCGCCGTCGACGGAATGGCAATGTGGAGCTTCTCATCCGTTGGAAGGGCTATGATCCTTCAGAGGATAGCTGGGTCTCTGAATCCGAGATGGATCACGCTCGTCGTCCTCTTCGCGACTACCTTGTCAAGCAGGGTGTTACGTCTACCACCCAGCTTTGAGGGGGGGAAGTGTGAGAGTAAGACCCCGTTCCATTCCTTTCTCATTCCCATCTTCCCTTTCCATTTCATTCCTCTTTTATCCTGATTCATTTGGTCTTTATCTCATTCCATTTGGATCCCTCTTCCTCCAATTCAATAAACCTTTAGTTTCTCCTGTTATTATCATTATTTTCTAGAAGGGTCTATTCCCTTGGGATAGGATAGACCTGGTTACCTGATGTACCTTGGAAGTATAAAAGCGCCTTCTCCTGATCGATAGTAGAACCTTTCCTCGACACATTCGATCCTGTGACACCGGTCGAAAAGCGCACCGGTCGAAAAGCGCACCGGTCGAAAAGCGCACCGGTCGAAAAGCGCACCGGTCGAAAAGCGCACCGGTCGAAAAGCGCACCGGTCGAAAAGCGCACCGGTCGAAAAGCGCACCGGTGGAAAAGGGACCCGTCGAAAAGCGCACCGGTCGAAAAGCGCACCGGTCGAAAAGCGCACCGGTCGAAAAGCGCACCGGTCGAAAAGCGCACCCGTCGAAAAGCGCACCCGGTCGAAAAGCGCACCGGTCGAAAAGCGCACCGGTCGAAAAGCGCACCGGTCGAAAAGCCGCACGGGTGAAAAAGCGCACGGGTCGAAAAGCGCACTCGGCCGTCGAAAAGCGCACCGGTCGAAAAGCGCACCGGTCGAAAAGCGCACCGGTCGAAAAGCGCACCGGTCGAAAAGCGCACCGTGTCGAAAGCGCACCGGTCGAAAGCGCACCGTCGAAAAGTGCACCGGTCGAAAAGCGACGGGTGAAAAAGCGCCGGGTGGAAAAGGGCACC